ACGGTACTGCGATAACAGCAGGAAAAGAAAAACAAGCAATAGTATATACTTAATTATTTAATACACAACAGATCACAGATATATTTACACGCAGCATATATTTTACACACATTTGACCCCCTTGAATTCCTAGCACCAATTATGCCGCACATGAGACCCTATCTATAGCAAGCACATCCACCGCAAACAAAATGACAAAACGAGTATTCAGATCCAAGAACCCCGCTTACCTGTCACCGTGCCGGCAGCCGAACACCCACAGCCAAACAACATGCACAGGTGGAAGAGGAATGGTAGGGTTACCGTCAGTGGTGCTAAAAACCATGCCAAACTGATACTCCTCCTGAACGATCGGACCCCTCCCTTTGCGAACAGCCACATCCCCCTTCACCGAGCCTACACATTCGGGGGATGGCTGCATCTGCTGCATCTGTAGATGTACCTGCACCGGAATTCATGATACACGTAAGTAACCATAGTAGCACACGACAATTAGAAAGTTTAGTCACAAACCTGGGGAGACGGTGTGCCAACACCCCGCGCCCGCGCCCGCGCCCTGTTTTTTTCCAGATTCTGCGTGGACAGCTCTTGGGTCAGTCCTAGGCTAAAACTAGGAGCATCAACCCCCCCAATAGACTCTATCGCCTCTTTCTCGAGACGGTCCAACTCCCTGAAAAACTCAGGGTCATGCCACATCGCTTCCTCGTGGTCAACCACTGCCGGGGTGGGGGGTTGAGGTGTCTCCCTAGGTTTGGGCTCGTGAATTATCCCACGCAACAATTCCACTGCAGCACCGACCCGATCAACCACCAGTGAAGCAACTGAGAGTAGGTCTCCGATGATGGATGCAAGCTCTTCGTCAAAGCCCTACAACACACGTGGAATTAAACTATCTTGAAACTGTTTTCCAACATAAAATACAACTTGATATTCTTGGCATACCTGGTTATGCGCCAACGCAGGCACAGGGTGCACCGACTGCATACCGTTGTTCCGTTGCCCTCCCGGTTGGACTACCCATGTCCTCGTCCTGGTCGACCCCATTGTCGTTGGACAGCTTGATGCACGCAAAGGTGCTTCCACTCGGCCAGTCCCAAACGCCCCTAAACTAACCTCTCGGCACTCCCGTGTTGTAATCTGCTCCATGGTCCACCCGTCCAATGCTGGGACTGTCCTCGGCACATCCCGTGCGATGACCACCACCCTATCGACATATAAGAGCTGCACCAACCAGATTACCCACACATTACCAACCAATAATTAACAACGTACATTCCCACATATGTTCTATCAGAAAATAACACTTACCGTTAGAAAGAGCAATGGTCCCGTAAATGGGCGAGCGGTGTTCTCCAACCAGCTAGCATGTGTGGTAACCAACGAGTGCAACAGATACCCGCACAAATCCAAATCCTTGATCTTGGTTACGTCACTGAACATGTGCACAATCTTCTGATTTACATAGCCATTGGGGGTGCTTGAAACTAGAGTGCTTACAGCGACCACACTAAAGTGACGTTTAAACCAAACCCCACCCTCTTTGAGACCTAACATCAATGTGCTCAACGCCTTAATTGTGACCCTCCCTCTCTGTTGCTTCACCTCGGCCCTCCATTGGTACAGGTCAGGGCCTACAGCATGTGTACCACGCTCTGTGACGGGTATTGTACCATTTGGGAGTCCCAATACAGCTGCAACGTCCTCCTTGGTAATTTTGATGCATCTCCCACCGCCCAAGTCCAACTCCATTGTCGAAGGGTTGAAACAAGACACCAACCAATATCCAAGGCGAAGTGGTAACTCCTTGATACGCAAGCCTAGAAGGCTCCCCAACCCAATACTGTTGACATCCTCCATCTGCTGCTGTGTTAATGAACCGACAACCCGCACGAGTTCCTTGGGCATCCCCCGCGTGTTGATATGGGGAAACGGGCAGACCACATGTCCAGTCTCAGCCCGCAAAGATCCTTCATACTCCACATCATCGAGGACCTGCGGCGGGGAGTAGAAGTCCTCACCAGACACACCCCCGTCATCAGTTAATAAACCCACTTGCGGTGCATCCCGACCTGAGACAACCCAACGTTAATTAAATATAATTTTTATATGTGATAAATCCTCCATGACCAAAGTTAATTAAACATTATTTTTATACCAAATAATTTGTTTACCCCACCAAGCTCGAATATATATATATAATACCACACTTCTACACATATCCAAATATACACAATCTGTATAACACTATGCCAACATAATTCGCTTCCAACTAAAAGTGTATAAATACATATATTTATAATGCATAAAAATCTGTTATTGCTAATCTATTATAATGACACTGACCTAAACTTGCCCAACATACAGCTGTTTTCAAATATTAAAAATCTACACTGTCTAAATCAGCACTTGCACCCCCTAGTCTACTGCACAGTTTGATTCTATTTCTGCAATACTCACCACGGGGACACAAACGTGGCAAGATAACGAGGAAATAAAAAATTCTGAACGTAGTATCATTATAATGCATAAGAATCTGTTATTGCTAATCTATCTATTATTGCTAATGACACTCACCTAAACTTGCCCAACATACAACTGTTTTCTGCTATTACACACCTACACTGTCTAAACTTGTACCCCTGAATCTAGTGCAGTTCTAGGTACCATAGATTAGTGCAGTATACATTCACCTATTTGTTTCACCCGTGCATGTTGTTTTTTGCTATTACATACCTACACTGTCTAAACTTGTACCCCCTAATCTAGTGCAGTTCTATGTACCATAGATTAGTGCAGTACACATTCACCTATTTGTTTAACACCATTATCTAATTTGAGCACATTAGGTAATCATGCAAATGTGGTAGTCCTGGAATTTGGTTCGCAATCTTCAATGTTGTTACTTTAATTGGTGGAGAAGGGGAGTGGATGAATTCCCATTCTGTGTGCATCACCCCCAACCCCCCTAATTCAACGAAGGAATTAAAAAAATAGGAAAAAAAAATGGGAAACAACACAAACGAAATGGAACTAACCCCACTGTGCCAATCGTCTCCTTGCAACGACCCTAGACGCCACCCCGGAAGCTGGACGATCGCAGAACCCACGAGCAGCCGAACACGACGGACGACGGCCTGATCGTCGCTTAAAGATCCGATTCCCCACCGCAACCCTGTGCGACCCAGCTGCCGGCGGCGTTGCCGGCGTGACCGGACGCCCATCCCTACCAATCTTCACTCGACGATATCCACTTGGACGGGCCATTAGCTCTCGACAATCAACCTGCAATGGCGAGAGGAATAGAGAGAGAACGAGCTACTGGAGGTTGAAGATGAGATAAAACCCAATTAGAATTCTACTCCCCTGTTATCGCATCTGCAATTGAAAAATGGGAAGAACTTTATTCTAAAACGCGACACACACTAGCCTATGCACCCTCACTAACAACCATTGATCATTTTAAACTGTACGGTTGTGATGAATGCACACGGTACACACTTTAAGAATGGGGTGCACCAGAATTTTATTCTATATATATATATATATATATATATATATATATATATATATATATATATATATATACTAATAAGAGCTCAAGAGAGTTAGGCCTTTAATGGATAGAAAAGATGGTGGTCAAATTTTTTAATCAAATGATTGGCTCAGATTGATCAGATTTTAATTTTTCCTTAAGATTTCCTAATTTATCCTTAATGAATATGATTATCCGTTAACTTTTCCATTAAATATTATCTTTTCCGTTAATTTCTGTTAGTTCACCGTTAACTTACTCATTGATTTCAATAAGAAAGGTCTCAGGTTCGAACCTCATCCCAATCAAAGTTTGCATAATTAGTACTCTATTTTATTCTTATTAAATTAAATAATAATTTAATTAGTAGCTACAACAAAAAATAATATATATACATGCATTTCTTTAATTTAGAATTATGTGTTTACAATGTCTTTATTTAAAAAAAATAAATTATTCATTATCAATAAATTAAATAAGAGAAATAATATCATTAGTTATATTCACTAATTATCCCTACAATGTCTTTATTAAAAAAATTATTCATTATCAATAAATTAATTAAAAGAAATAATTTTATTAGTTATATTGTCTTTATATTTCTCCAATGTAAAAATTCTTTACATTCAAATTCATCAAATGATTATATTCACTGCATTGTCTATTATCTTTTTTGTGCACTATTTTTTAATTAAATATCAAAGTTATAATACAAAATAATGCTATATATTTATTTACCAAGTATTTTATTAATACCATGAAAAAATTAAAAAATATATATATAATTAATAAAGCTAATCATATTAACTATTTGAGGGATTTGTTGACAAAAAGGGTAGTATTCAAATCACACATGACATAACAAATTGAAGTGAGAACTGTCTCACAATGTCCTTGTTTGACAATCAGCAGTTAGCGGTTAGCGCGTGTTAACGGATTTGACCAGCGGTTATTTGCTCTCCCTTATATCCCGTATTTGGTTTTAACCATACATATACAATTATTTTATTGACAATTATAATCAATCTTGACTATATTATTTTGCATTTGTAAACTTATAATTATCTATTTAAAATACACAAATTCAACATTCAATTATCTATGCATAAACAATTCCAATATAATCTTGCCTTGATATACTTTAAAGTACTTATTAAAAAAAAACATTGAGCATTATCTCAATCGCGCAATACGCGTAAAAAACTAGTACTAATAACATGATTGCATTTTATCCAATATATATCCACCCAAATTTGTAGTTTCTCTAATAAGTTGTCGATTCGAGTCTTAGTGGAAGTGATGCTGACTTTTTGTGTTTCAGTAGGTTTAGAAAGTAGAGATTGTATTGGTAGAAAAAAAAAAAAAAAGTAAAGAGCAATCTTATAGTTTAGAGCCTAAAAGTGAAATTACATCAATAATGCAGGCCGAAAAATATAAATTGTAAAAATGGATGTGCACAAGTAAAAAGTAGTAAAAATAACGGGTCGATATAAATGTTTCGGGTCCTCTCGTCAACAATGGATTCTGGAGAAGAATGAGGTTGCAGAGAGCCATGGGGATTTCTAAGGGTGGTTGCCCGTCTCTGTAAGCCGATGATTTTCCACAATGTAAACAACCCTTATTATGTATGTATGTATATATATATCTGTGATCTATCTATGGCTCTGTTTGGTATCGCTGTTTAGAGCTTTTTTGAGTACTACTGACTCTAAGGAGGCGTTTGGTTCACGGAATCTTGGATTACCCCAGCGTATTGGCTGCTGAGATCCGAGAAATCGGTAGCTTCTCATTCATCATCACCCTTCTCGCCCTCTTTTTCATTCGGCGCCACCGCCACCACCACCGCCATAGGCCCACAGCCACCACGAAATTCATGGGACTTAATCATCTGATTAACCAGTGATTTTCGGTTACGTGTGAGTCTGTGATGATGAATTTCTAGAGTTCACTGGGGATGGAGAGAAGCCGATCCCTTTATGGCGTGGTGATTTGTGATCGCAGCCATGGGGATTGTCTTCTCTACCATGCCTCTCTAAATGACAGATCTGAGACTCATGTCGCCACACGCTCTGCTCTAATCCGCTGAGAGGCTGCAGGGGGATGCGAAGTTTCTAAGGGTGATTTCTCCCCTCTGCATGCCAATGATCTCCCCTAACCGTCAAAATCAATTACCCTTTTGAAATGCAGTACGGGGTAGTACTAGTATATATGTGCTGTGCTTTCTGGTCCATGGTATAACGATATATCTGCTGTCCTTTATGGTCCATGGTATAACAATTGGTTTGCAATTCACGCTTCTATTAGAGGCGCTGTTACTTTCCCACCAATAGGCTGTGATGATTGTAGGAAGAGCTATTTAGTGTTTCATGGGCTTAGAGGCAATGTGATCCGTATCTTGGCAGGGCAAATCCAGATGGAACTGAGGTTTGCAGCCATGGCGGTGTCTCTCTCCTCTTGCCCATTCATATATACAAGATCTGAGCCTTCATTCTTACTCTTCATTCGAGGAGATGTTGAAAAAAAAAAAATCAAACATTTATGCATTGTGACAATTTTGGCAAAACCTTTTATATTTGGCATGGAAATTTTGTACACTTTGCATCAAATCTCTGTCATGAGGTTTAATTCTTTTCAGTTTTCGCACCTCAGAAATGAATGATGGTGCAGGAGGTTTTGGGGCTTTTTAAGGGTGGTTGCCCATCTCTGTATGTCTGTATTTCAGCAATTAACAACCCTTACATAATTTTTTTTTTTTTGGTGAATATGAATGCAGGCCAATGTGTCCTGTTACATATGTGGGTTTAGGGTTTGGTTTTGAGTTAGGGTTGATATCCAGCCCAGCTTCCCCTTAGTTATCGTCAACAGTGGATTTTGGAGAAGAAGAAGAATGAGGTTGCAGAGAGCCATGGGGATTTCTAAGGGTGGTTGCCTGTCTCTGTAAGCCGATGATTTTCCACAATGTAAACAGCCCTTATGTATGTATGTATATATATATATGATCTATCTATGGCTCTGTTTGGTGTCGCTGTTTAGAGCTTAAGCTATCTTTGGCCTTGTTTGGTAAAATAGTTAGCCTATTAGCTATCTTTGCTCCAAAATGCTAAAATTCAAAAAGTTGTTCTTTTTTTATTAGCTTTTTAAGAAAGTCATTTTGTATGCAATCAGATAACACCTAGCTAAGAGCTAATTTACCAAAACTTTTCAACAATCAGCTAATGCTATCAACTAGTTCAACCCACTAACCCAATCAGCTAACAACCATTTACCAAACATCCCCTTTATCCATACAATTCACTTCCACATTCTTAGGGGGTGTTTGTTTCATGGAATCTTGGATTATCCCATCGTATTGGCTGCCAAGATCCGAGCAATTGGTAGCTTCTCATTCATCTTCATCCTTCTCGCCCTCTTTTTCGTTCGGCCCTACCACCACAGCCACAGCCACCACGAAATTCATGGGACTTAAGCATCTGATTAACCAGTGATTTTTGGCTACGTGTGAGTCTGTGATGATGAATTTCTAGAGTTCACTGGGCATGAAGAGAAGCCGATCCTTTATGGCGTGGCGATTTGTGATCCCAAGATATATCTCATGTGTGATCTGGATTGCAGCCATGGGGATTGTCTTGTCTACCATGCCTGTCTAAATGACAGATCTGAGACTCATTTTGATGATAAAATTGGATCTATAGTAAATGAGTTTCAGCTCATGAAGGAAAGACCAGGTCCAATTTTGTTCGCTATCCCGACCATGATTGCCACACTCCTAGGGGGAAAAGTAATTCCCTTTAGGCCGGTTGTGGGCGAGGAGGGATTTGGGCCATCAACAATGTAGTTCGTTGTTGTCGCCACACGCTCTAATCCACTGAGAGGCTGCAGGGGGATGCGAAGTTTCTAAGGGTGATTCCTCCCCTCTGCATGCCAATGATCTTCCCTAATTGTCAAAATCAATTACCCTTTTGAAATGCAGTATAGAGTAGTACTAGTATATATGTGCTGTGCTTTCTTGTCCATGGTATAACGATATATTTGCTGTCCTTTATGGTCCATGGTATAACGATTGATTTGAATTGACACTTCTATTAGAGGCGTTGTTACTTTCCCACCAATAGGCTGTGATGATGGTAGGAAGAGCTCTTTAGAGTTTCATGGTCTTAGAGGCAATGTGATCCGTATCTTGGCAGGGCAAATCCGGTTGAAACTGAAGTTTGCAGCCATGGCGGTGTCTCTCTCCTCTTGCCCATTCATATATAGAAGATCTGAGCCTCCATTCTTACTCTTCATTCCAGAAGATGCTGTTGAAAAAAAGTGCAGACATTTATGCATTGTGACAATTTTGGCCAAACCTTTTATATTTGGCATGGAAATTTTGTACACTTTGCATCAAATCTCTGTCATGAGATTTAATTGCTTTTCAGAAATGAATGATGGTGCAGGAGGTTTTGGGGCTTTTTAAGGGTGGTTGCCCATCTCTGTATGTCTGTATTTCAGCAATTAACAGCCCTTACATAATTTTTCTTTGGTTGAATATGAATACAGGCCAATGTGTCCTGTATACGTATGTGGATTTAGGGTTTGGTTTTGAGTTAGGGTTGATATCCAGCCCAGCTTCCCCTTATTGGCAAATTATGCTGTGCATCCGTGTCACCTTATTTATCTTCTTCTTCTTCATCATGATTATCCTTGTTCTCATTTTCTGATTTTTCATGGATGGGATGGGGATCACGGGGCTGTGAAGATGAAGTTCTAGAGTGTTTATTGGGCAACCAATGCACATTCATGGCAGGGTGACCTTGAAGGCAAGAGTGATATGTCACTAGTGCAACTGGGTTGGCAGCCATGGTTGTTGTCTTCTCTACTATGCCTGTCTAAATACACATCTGAGCCTAATTTTGATAATAATAAAATTGTGTATGGGTTGACCATGAAAGCAGTGTTTCAACTCAGGAAGGAAACAAGGCTGCATAAGGATGTGATTTTCTTCGGGTGGTTGCCCATCTGTATGCCAATGATTTCCCCAACTCTCTTCAAAATCAACAACCCTTTTGGAATCTAGTACTGGATATTACAGTGTACTATTATGCTTTGTTTATCCTTGCAATACTCTCTCACTTCATATTATCATATTTGCAATCCACGCACTATCTTTGTTGTTGTTATTGTTATTATTATATACAACGTACATTGTTTTCTGCTCATTGAAATACTCTTAGGGGTCGTTTGGTTCACGGAATGTAAGATTACCTTAGGGAATGTTAGATTGCTGGGAATGTTAGATTACTGGGAATGTTAGATTCCTGTGTTTGGTTAAAATTGGGGTATGTAATATAATGATGTTTGGTTTATGGTTATCTTTTATACACACTGTAATATCCTTAACATATTTTCATATATTTTAATAAATTTAAAAATTAAAATAAATAAATAAGATAACGGTATCATATATAATCACATGATTTTAAAATATTAACTAAAATCTTGAACTTGAAAAACAAAATTATTTTATAAACTAACATAACATAATAAAAATAAAAAAAAGATATATATATAATTACAAATATATATATATATATATATATATATATATATATATATATAACTAACATAACCAAGGTTATCTTAGATTACCTAAGATTTTGAAGGGAATCACATTCCCTTCAAAATCCTATGTGGAGGGAATGTGACATTCCTTGGGAATGTTAGATTCCCTGAGATAATATGAACCAAACACCGGAATGTGAGCTTTGGAATGTCACATTCCCTTGGTTATCTTATATAACCTGAACCAAACGCCCCCTTAATGTCACTGTTAATCTTGGTAGGCTGTGATGGTGGTAAAACCTTTCTTAGAGTTTCATGGGCATGGAGATAACAAAACTTGTATCTTGGCAGGGTAAACATGCACAAAATTGATGTTTGCAGCCATGGCTGTGTTACTCTACTTTTGCCCAATCATGTAAAAGATCTGAGCCTCCATCCTTACTCTTCATGAATGTGTTGAACTAATATATATGTAAATGTGTGTGTGTGATATAGTATATAGCACCATTAATACTGTGTGTGTGTGATTGAACTATATGCAAACATTGTTGTATGTGCAAAGCCAAAGTTTTGTTTTTTTTTTTTTTTTTTTTTTTTTTTTTTTTTTTTTTTTTTTGGATAGGGACAATTCAGTGAGATATGGTTGGATAGCACTTCTGCAAGGGAAAATTTGATGGTTGATCTCTTTGAACATCTAATTGTCTGTTTCCAATTGAAGGTAATGCCATCGACCCTTTGCCAAAGAAAAGGAAAAAGAGACAAACCTTGAATCCTGGTTCTTTATCTAAGGCCTCCCCACTTTGTTAAATTCTCATGTACAATGTTACTGACACTCCACATCCTCTACACTTGGCTTCAAGATCTTAGGGAAGAATCTTATTAACTGTCTCTATATGTATATGGAGGTATCAAATATCTATAGAGATTCACTGTTTTCAATTTTCTCAGATACGGATGACTAAGGCTGTAGGGGATTTGGGAATTCTGTGGTTGGTTGCCCATCTCTGTATGCCTATGATTTTCCCAAAGTTAACAACCCATATAGTAATTTGTCTGTATATGTAGTTTAAGCTTTGGGTTAGACCCAGGGTTGAGATCCAACTTAGCATGGCAGTGTTACTCTACTTTTGCCCAATCATGTAAAAGATCTGAGCCTCCATCCTTACTCTTCATGAATGTGATGAACTAATATATATGTAAATGTGTGTGTGGGGGGTCATATATAGCACCATTAATACCGTGTGTGTTTGTGATTGAACTCTAAGCAAATGTGTGTGTGTCTGTATGCCTCTGAATTTCCCACAGGTAACAACCCATATAGTATAGTAATCTGTCTGTATATGTGGTTTAAGCTTTGGGTTAGACCCAGGGTTGAGATCCAACTTAGCTTCTCCATCCTCATCCTCACTCTTATTGATATCATCATTGCCACCTGTGCTGCAACTTCTGATATTGGCTAGGACTTTAGGAGTGAGGCTGTGATGATTTATTTTAGAAGTTCATCTATAGCATGGAAAACCACCCTGCCAGTGGAGCCGTCTGGAAGGCCTGACAGATATCTCACTGGTGTAACTGGGTTGTCTTCTCTACTATGCATGTCAGAACAATAAATGTGAGCCTTATTTTTATAATAAAATTGCTTAGACTCGCAAAGTAAATGGAGTTTCAACTCAAGAAGGAAATGAGGCCACTGAAGGATTAAGGGTTTGCTCTTTCTACAAGTTTGCTTAGACTCGCAAAGTAAATGGAGTTTCAACTCAAGAAGGAAATGAGGCCACTGAAGGATTAAGGGTTTGCTCTTTCTACAAGTTTATTATTAAGTTCCTTTTCCAATTTTCCCTGCAAATTAATAGTTGGCATGACATCTTTAAGCTATGTTTTCTTTTTTAGATGTACGCATGCATATATGCTGGTTCCAATTCAAGCCCTTAGTTGTCTGTTTCATGATCTTTCTGATTTGTCAAAACGCATAACTAGGAGTGGCATTGATTCATTTCTGCGTTGTCTGTTTCATGCTGGTTCCTTAATGCATGGCTGCCATGTTAGTGTTGCTTTGATTCATTTCTGCGTTTCCTTGTTTTTGCAGGCATTTTTAACGCATCCCTTTGCAGTTTTACTGGAAACAAACATGATAGACAACATTGTCGCCCCGCCCACTTCATGCTCATGCACTGTTACACCATCGATGAAACACCATGACAAGAGCACCTAACAAGAATGACAACTTGCTTGATGTGCCATTACAATTTGGTGTTGTATTGCATGCAGATGGGATCTTTTAGTGTCAACTTGTGATTCCATTACATCTCAGATTGGACTCAAGAGCTAGCAGGTGGAGTGTTATGTTGTTGTTATCACTATAACTACTTTGGTTATGAAAATATGTTAAGAAAACCAAATAAGACATCTTTTGTTATTCAAAAGTCTTTGTAATTTTACTCTCAACAGGAGAGTTAATTTTGCTACTCACCATTCATAGGTTGTATAATAACGGTAATTTCAAGATTAATCTTCAACTTTTAATGTCGAGTGAAAATGTCTAAAATGTTGACATTTGATCTTTTTTTTTTTTTTTTTTTTTTTTCTCTAAACAAATAAATCTTGGACATTTTTTTTTAAAAAAATGTGTCATAACTTCGAAAATTAGGAAGCATATTTGTCAAATTGGTTGATAATATTTTAGAATTATAGAAAAATTTTATAATACTAAAAAATATTACATTCTTACCAATCATTCTATCGTGGATTATGGTTTATATTGAAAAATGAATCATTAATAAATATTCATTTTTAGTATACTAAATGTGTTTTTATTTTTTTTGAATACTATTGACTCTATTATAATGTAGTATATGTTCATACATACGTTCTCAACCTATTGAAGCACAAGAGTTTGAACCTTTTATTTGAGGGGTCACAACTATACGACCACAAGTATATTTTTAATGTATCAAAAATGTTCATTCTTAATAGTATATCTAAAAATATCTAAAAATGAACCATAAAATTTATATATAGTGGTCTAATATTATAATATAATATAGACAATGGTTACTGGTATAATAATTATGGAATTAGATTGTCCTCAACCATAAAAGTAGGACTTCAGGATGAGGTGGAAAAACAAAATCAATTTTTGTTTAAAGCTGAAATGCAAGCTTGCATTCCGTAGTTTTTGCTATCATTTGGCAGTTCTTCTGTTTTTTATTTTATTTTATTTTTTATTTATTTTAAGTATATGTATAGAAAGTGAGACATTTTTAAAGTTAGAGAGTATTACAGTCTTAAGCTTCACAATGTAAAAGCAAATGTAGGGATGGAGTCATATTGGACATGGTGGATCAATGGACCCCAATGCCTTTAAGCCCTCTACCAAAATTATATACTCCATCGTCTTCATATATATATATATATATATATATATATATATATATATATATATATATATATATATATATATTTGAAACTTTATCTTTTTTAATAACATTATATATTCATAATTTCATAAAATCTTAAGTTGAATACCAAAATCTATATCTATCATTTTGACATTTTTACCTCTTACTAGGTGTTTGTAGTTATACTACAATCAATCTCCATATGATCCTTAAGCACCAATCTCCATTATTACGTAACAATTAATTTCAAAATATTCTAATCTCCATATATAATTCGCTATTGCCGATCTCCATCAACACGTTACAACTAATTTCAAAATCTAATCTCTCTCCATCTTCAACATACCATTGCTGATACCCATCGATACACACTATATAATTCCAAAATCTCTTATCTCCGTGGATTTGTGAGATTATAACTATTATTATAGTACACCATGCAAAATGTACCCAAAAAAAAAAAAAGAAAAAGAAAAAATGTACACCATGCAAAAAGTTTAATAGATAAAAGAAACATAATTTAAATATGTGTCTTAAATTCTCTCTTATAAATTAGTTAGATAGTATAACATTTTTTATTTTGTATAATAATATGTAAGCTAATTTTGATATAATTAATTCTCATTTCATCAAATAACGAACTAAGAACAAAAATTATGTTGGTGTAATAATGTTAGTTGATAACTTGTACATTTTAATTTCATTGTACAATTATAAGACATTTTCAAAATTACCATTTTTTTTTTCATTTATGTACAGACTTTAATATCACAAATATATAAAGCTAGATACTACCCACATTCTGATTTTATGGAGGCTATCATTGGAGCCAATCCTAGCTATTGTTGGCGTTCTATTTTAGCAGGCCAAGAGGTATTGAAAAAAGGATGCTATCGAAGAATTGGTAATGGGGTATCAACCACTGTCTGGAATCAACCTTGGCCGCCTTGCACTACTGATCCATTTATACACACACCTGCTACTATTGACCATCCAGCTATGAAGGTGAGTGATCTGATTGATCCAAACTTAAATGACTGGAATTCGGACCTACTGTCTACAATATTTGAGCCAAGGGATGTTGATCTTATCATGAAAATACCAGTTGCAATTACCTTTGAAGATCAGTGGTGTTGGCATGGTGACATACGAGGTATGTACTCAGTGAAACAAGGCTATCGTTTACTGACGGAGGAGAACGCTACGGGGACAACGTCGACAACATGGAAGGCAATATGGGAACTGAAAATCCTGCCTAATGTGAAGAATTTTTTATGGAGGTGTTTGCATGGAGTTTTACCCACTTTGACTATGTTGGCGACCCGTCATGTTGAGGTGGACACCATTTGCCCCCTCTGTCACCTTTATGATGAATCTTTGAGGCATCTAATGTGTGATTGTACCTAGGTTACTGCTCTTTGGCAATCTCTTCCAAATTGTTTGATGCATATAGGTGATGAGGGTCTTGAAGATTGGCTAGCAGGAAGATTAATGGGAGACGAAACTGTTATGATCCAATGTGCTGCTAGGCTTTGGTGTATTTGGTGTGAACGAAACTGTGTGGTTTGGTCTCTAAAGAATTGGAATGCAGCAGTAGCTAGTATGGAAGCTCTTAGAACACTGGAAAGTTGGCAGCCCCTTGCTGGGAACCGCATATCTGCTTCAGCTCTGAATTCGGCCGCACGAACTCATGCAGTAGTCCCAGATGATGCTTTCACTTTGTTGGTTGACGCAGCTGTATTCCCAAATGACGACCTAGCAAGCTATGGAGTTGTCCTAAAGGACAGTGATGGCAATTATGTTGCGGCGAAGAATGGTCCAATACGGTGTGTACAGGATGCCCACCTAGCAGAGGCTATCGCGATTAAGGAGGCTCTTTCGTGGGCTTATGAACGACGGCTTTCGAATGTGGTGGTTCTATCAGATTGCCAAACCGTCTGCAAGTTCTTTAATGGTTCTCTTTTGGATTTTTTCAGTGCGGGTTGCGTTATCCAGCAATGCCGCGACCTTAAACGACACTTTGCATTTGTGTCTATTCAGTTTGTTCATAGATCAGAGAATCAGTTAGCTCATGCTATGGTTAGAGCTGCTCGTTCTGCTACTGGTCCTTCTATATGGTCTCATTTTGTTCCTGCTTGTATTGAACCTTTGCTTTAATTGAATCTTTACTTTTTTTTTTTTTTTTTTTGAATGCTACTAGCTCTATTACATTGTAGTATCTGTTCATATACTTTCTCAACCTACTGAAACACAGAGAGCTAATAACGCCTCCACTGAGGCTCGAACTTACAACCTTCCAAATGGAAGTCCAACCCGAATTTTTACTTATTTTACTTATTCTTTTCAAAAAAAACAATGATGAACATTTTTTTATATTATTATTATAACAATTAAATTAGTATTAATTATTTATTATTTAAAATTTGTACTGTGCATTTATTTATTTTAATTTTTTTTATTGGGCTTAATTTAATGGCACAATTAACCTATTATAACTAGGTCGGCTGACTTCTCTTTACCGGCAATTTGGTTGGAGACTAATTGTGCAAACATTAATAAAATGGAAGACAATGTGACGTGGGGATCCTTGTTCGTCTACGTGGTTTGGCAGTTGTGGAAAGCTCGTAATGACCTTGTCTTCAACGGGAAACATTAGTTGGCAATGGAGATGATCCAAAAGGCAAAGAAGGATGCAAAGGAAGTTGATCGACTTCTAGAGAGGCGAGTGGTTATGGATTGCAGTATTCAACGTTTGGTTCCGTGGACTCCCACAGCCGCAGGCAATGTTAAATTGAACAAGGATGCGGCCCGAAAAGCGATCACAGGGATATGGGGTGTTGGCGGGATCATGAAGGGAATTGGATTCTTGGCTTTCATGCGAAAATTGGAAAAACGGCAAGCTTTGTTGCGGAGCTTTGGAAACTTCGTAAGGGCTTGTTACTAGTGCAAGATATGGGGCTCAATGCGGTGGATGTGGAACTCGGCTCTGAAGCCGTTTATCAACGCCTTCATGGGGACCACATAAGGTAGACTTCAGACTGGAACCTTGCTAACTGATGGCAGAAATCTCTTAATCAAATTGGAGTACTATGATCTCTTATGTCTTTAGAGAAAACAACCAAAATGCTAATGAAAAGAATTAGATAAGCTCGAATGGACAGCTCAGTTGGTCAGGTAAAATTTGGGAAGAAAAAAATTAGATAACACTCATTTTCCTTTCATATTTCCTATAATTCCTCAGCTTATCTTATTTCATTTTAGAATATATTACCCGGATCTGCAAATCACAATAATCTTCCACTCAATTTCTATGCAGATTCCTCCCACCATTCACCCGCTCATTTTTCATTGCCCCTTCTCCGCAGATTCTTTGCAAATCACAATAATCTTCCACTCAATTTCTATGCAGATTCCTCCCACCATTGATCCACTCATTTTTCATTGTCTCTTCTCCGCAGATTCCTCCCATCATTCATCCGCTCATCTTTCATTACCCATCTCTATACCAACAATTGGGATCTACAATCAGCGAAATCCTCTTCATTACCTTCTCAACCGCGGGAAGAAGAGCTGCAATCAACGGCATTCAATGGGTATGAACATGAATTGCGCTTCAATATTTAAGTGGAATCACTACTGCCTTCTTTCTTTCAAATTTAATCAAAGGTAAATTATTTAATATTTTTGTTAATTTTATATAATTTGATGGCAGTCCTTGATGGTGAGGCACTGCAGTTTAGTATAGTTCTTTCAAATTGCATGCAGGCCCTCATTATCAATATTGTGTCTAATCAAGCAATATGTAATTTCATATAAATAAATAATAAGTTTATATTAATTAAAAGTGAAAAGTCTTTCACAACAATTAAACCTAGTTTTTTTCTGCTTCCATTATATTTGAATTTTCATGTACACAACACAACAATTTGTCAGTTTGTACGAAGAACCCAACAGAGGACTTTCATTACCTTTTTTTCTTAATTGCTATGATTATGTCTATAATTAAGAATTTTTTGTTTTATTTTCATTTATTACTTTATTTAGTTTTGGAATATTGCTTGATGTTAGGATGTATATAGCTATTTAAACTGTTCATTGGACACTGAAGGCACCATAGAATAATTTCATCATTTTATTTGTTTCTATCTCTAAAACTGTAGTCTGTTATTCCGCCCTCTGTTATCTCTTCTCCGTCTCCGCCACCTTCAGGTTCTTACTTCCCTCTGTTTATTCCCATTGTTGGTTTTAGATGAATTGCAAGTTAATGTGTTTTACAATGCATACATTAAAACAAAATTTATTCATTTAGAATTGCTTTTACATCAATGTGCTTTCTTCATAAAATAGGTCATTTTATATGTAACAAAAATGGTATTCTCAAACAAAACAACTTCTATTACTTATTTTTAGACGTATGTTCAATTCAGCAAACAACAAAATAAAAATATTACACCCTCTAATAGTTACAACATTTGTCACATTCATTTTCAAAACTTATAGGACCACTAAACAACATACTTTTATACGAGATTGGAAACAATTGAAAATACATGTTAACTAAATAACACAAGTACAAAATAGTTGTAAAATAGCATTAAATATCCTTATATAAAATTAAAAATGTATATATTCATCATAATGTGAATTTCTTGTGAAAAATTTCAAAAACATCAACAAATACATTTTAGGTGAATTATTAATATTCATTTCCTTTTCCAATTAACCTAAATTCAATTCCTTTTTTTCATTTTTAATTTTCAGTGAATTATTAATATTCATTTCTTTTCTTTTTCCAATTTACCAAATTTTCATTCCATTTTTAATTGATGATGTAGAATATTATCGTGAAAATATTTATGTTTCTTTTTTTTTTTCATTCTTTTTTTTTTTTTTTAATTTACCTTTACTATTTATTATTGTTTGGGCAGAAAATCAAGTAAATATGATTTTGTTTTTAATTATAGTATAGATTTGACAGTGAAGTTGTAGAATATATATATATATATGAATTGGTTATATTATAAATTGTTTAAATTGGTTAATATAGGGTATTATGTTAGTACGTGACAACATTGAATATGGAAACAATATTACCAAGATTTTAGTTAATTTCTATTTTACATTTGCTTACAAAATAAGTTGTATTAAATTAGTTGGTGATAAACATTCAAAAATTCTATACGGTAATACCATACATAATATTACCAAGTATGCTATTATATATGTTATTACCTAATTAACTAATGTCTTTTCTACACGGTATTATAAATATGTAAAAAATACGGAGAATTTGCAAACAATAATGTTACCAAAAATATTATTATATTATAGAATATAACTAATATGTCTTTTCTATATGGTATTATGCTATTACGTTAATACGTGAATATGAAAACAATATTACCAAGATTTTAGTTAATATACATTTTACATTTGCTTACAAAATAAGCTTTATTAAATTAGTTAGTGAAAATACAGCTACGCATGAAAGATGAATTCAATCTAAAAATTGCAGTTTATAATTCTGTATGTGAACATGCACACATGTTGAAGGCTCAAAAGAATCTTCTAGAAGTGTAAAAAAAGATTTACTAAAGATAAGTACAATTTCAACTAATATATGCTTTACCAATAATATTAATTCCTATTTTCTACTATATTATAATTCAATTTACTATGATATGTGAAGCATTTATTTTTTAAGTTATACGAAAGAAACTGTGATTACAGAGAGAAAAATTGTAGTGAGGGGCTCTTAATTGTTTTCACCACTTCAAGGATGATGAGTTTTGTTCATATGAAGATAAGATAATACTGATGTATGTTGGTTATTTATAATATATATGGAAGTAAAATTTGAGCTATAAGATCATATAGGGCACTCTTTGATCCTAAATCAATAAATAATTAGTTATATACACATTTAGCAGTATCAATGTTATTACTAATACTTTATATATATCTACAGTATTGAACCTTTAATGTGAGATAAGAAAGAAATAATCAGTTAAATTATGCCTTTATTTGGATGCACTAAGACTATTACAATGCTCCATCACTTTGCAAACATGTACAACTTTGGCTTTATTTTATACTTTAATTATGGCTTTGTTTGGCAGAGCTTAGTTAGGAGCTTATAGCTTATTTTAAGCTACTAATATGCTATAAGTTCTATTTGATAATGTTCCCAAAATAAGCTCCTATCTTCCTAACTTTTTTTTTTCATCTTTATCCTTATTATTTTAAAGAAATGACATAATTTACTCTTCTCAATTAAAACTCTTTTCTCATTCTCTTTTATCCGCAACTTTCACCGCAAATATTATTATTATTATTATTATTATTATTATTATTATTATTATTATTATTATTATTATTAGTATTATTCACTACAACAAATCTTTCATTTCCCGGCGAAAATTTTAACGACGCTTTAGAAAACATCGCTAAATATAACAATTTGCGACGTTATATTAAATAACGTCACTATATATTTTGGTAGAGATAATAATTTTGTTGGGTGATATTTGCTGATGAAATATAATTTTTTTGTCAGTAAAAATATAGAATCAATGACATTTTATAATAAACGTCCCTAAATGTTCTATTTTAAAAATCAATTTTAACATAAAACGTCAGGAAAGGTGAAAATATTTGTGCGGGAAAACTATTTATCCTTTGGTGCCATTAAAATACAATCTCTTTAGAAATTAAAAAAAAGATGTCTAAAATATCAGACTCTAGAGTCGTTCACATCTTGAACGAGTATTTCACACCTCACTACAAACTAAAGCTTTGCCATCCATCGCCATCTCAGCTCTCTGGTCTCCTCCATCTCAACTTTCCCTCGCCATCTAAGCCACCGTCGAGTCAGCCAACTCCTCTTCCCATTACCATCGCTCCTCCACAAAAGTTGCCTCTTCCAGCTGCTGCCGCCGTCGAGACAGGACACCATCTTCCCGTCTCTGCCGTCATCGACACTCTTCCCGTCGCCTCACTAGTCGACGTCTCCAATGCCGTCACAGGTTAGTCCTCAAATCATAAACCCTAATCCCTAAATTCCTAATCCATTTATCTCTATCTCATAATTTCATTAAGCCCTAAATCTATATGTTTTTTCTAGTAATTTTATTGTTGAATTTTCCATATTTGAAAGTTGTGAATTAAAAAATTTTCAAAAGTATTCTGTAACTATTTGATGTTATTTGGCAAAGAAAATTTAACAATTGGCTATTAATTCATATGATATTTTTTCCTTGTTTATTAAGATTTTTGGTCTTATTATTGTTCTGTAGCTGCAATCTATTATGCATAAGCCTCATAAGTGAAGATGTCTTTGTGTAGATATACTACTCTCTATTAGCTTTTTTCAGGGTTATAAATGTCTTCAAATGATGTTTTGAATTCAGATACCCCTGGAAACAAAAGGCAAAAGAGATAGGCATATAAAGGAACAATGAAAGATAAATCATTTAGTTGACAGTTGGGTTGAGTTTTGGGCATGATGTTCTTTATTTGATAGTTGGGTTTACTTCTTTTATTGATTGATTCCTAGTATAAACTACTGCATCAATAATTGCAGAAAAGGAATATTTTATGATCATTTTCATTTTGGCTGATGAGAACTCACCTAACATAACAATTATTTTTCCTGTCCCTTTTTTGTGCTAGGCTATATGTGGTATACCTGAAGTTGCATTTGCAACCTTTGAAAACATGGAATATGGAGAAGGTTTGTCTCTTCATTTCTCTTGTCAGGCTTTTACTTAAACCTCCTCCTCTTTCATGAATTCATGTCCCTCCTTTTTCGTAGGTGATTCTTTTCTGCTTCTATTGCTGCAGATTTGTTTAACATGTTTGCTTCCTATCTCTCATAATGTGCATGCTTAAATCTAGATATCATAAGCTAATAACTTGGCTAAGCATTGAACAATGATAAACTTTGTTCCATATGAAGACAACAAATTACACTCTCTAGAGTTACCTAAAGTAAATAATCTTTTTTCTTTGCCCTGTTACCTAACAGGATTGAAAAGTGATCTGCACACACAAGTACACTACTTCCTTTTAGGGTAGTCCTTAATGCACAACAAATTAAACTCATCCATTCGAATTGTGGTACAGGAAGTTTATCTTATTTGGCCATTGGATGGTCATGGTATAGGATAAAACTATCTTCAATGTCTTTCTTATCACACTCCTGTGAGATAAAGTAATCATAGCCTTAATTTGGGTTTTGACATAGCATTATTACATGCTATTTTGGCTTCTACAAGTATTTGAGCAGAATGCAGATACCTAAGTTACTTTTTATGTAACTTGATTAATGCAGGCAGGACTTCTTGTTTGTGCTTGTGGCTTGATTACTTCTTATTAGATCAAAACAGTATCCTATTCTTTTAAATTTACCAGTATAAACTTAATATTAGCTTTTTTTTTTCTTTTTTTTTTCTTTTTTTTTTTTGCAGCTCATATGAAACTTGATACAGAGACTTATAATTGGGTGATCCAAGTATATACAAGGGCTGAGTCTTATGATAGGTCAGTCGCAAAATGTATTTCTCATATTCAAAGTTCTTCCATTTGTAGAGTTAGATGTTATTGTATGCCAGACATTTATAGCATGTTTACTTGGTGTAAAATAGTGTGCACTATCCATTATTGACTTGACCAAAGTATCTTGAAACATTATACAGGCAAACAAGTTTCACCTGTTGGAGTAAATAAAGTGTTCTCCAGATCAGTGGCAAAGCCACCCCTTTGAACTAGTGGGCCAGTTGACACCACTAGAATTTTAACCGATAGTATATTTTGGATGTGCACAATATGATTATTTATTTTAGTGTAAATAGAGTTAAAATTTCTAAATACCTCACTGGAAAAATGAAAATTTTATGTTTAGTTGGGTCAAATTGTCCAAATTGCATAGAAAAAGAAAACTTATCTTTCATGAAAAAAACCAGCTTCAGACTATCACTTTTCATGCATAGAAGGGAGTTGAGTGAAGGTCTACGGCCTCTCCATGAAACATTTATGGCATTGATTCATTTGTTTGGTTCAAAAGGTTTTGCTACGAGAGGTTTAGAAATTCATGTAGCTCACCCTTTGACCCACTTTGCTTTATCTGAACATTCATGTAGAAGAACCAGGATCACAGAGACAAAGTAGAGCAGAGAAAGGACTGGTAGCAGTTGGTGTGGTCAAGGTGAACAGTTTTCGCCATACACAGGTATGAACCAATGTTGGATTTACATTATATGTGTTGATCATTCTTAGGCTCAATAGAGCCATGTGGAGGTTGGCAAGGGTTAAGCATTTAGCATTGAGTAGTGGTTATCAAGGTGTGCTAAAAAGTACCACACTGTCTTGTCTCCCTCTCCCTATTGACTATTGTGCTGTAACAATCAGATAACTGAGTAAATGATATACGTACTAAGCTACCCAAATAAAAATGAAGGAAAAACTTTAGTCACATAGGGAAACAAATTCTTTCTAAAAGCATCTGAACTTCTGTTTCTACCACAACTACTTAGTCCTAATCCACAATTTATGTGTATTGATATAATCTGGCTGCCTTTTTCAATTGGGGACCTTTAGTTCTCTGCTGGTAGTAATTTTGTTTCTATTTATTGAGTTTGTCTTAATCATTTTTGCTCCTGAGTCCTGAATCCACCACCCAAAGGAATAAAGACTAAAGAGTACTACCACCACCACCATCATTGTATATTTTAAATATTTAAAATTAAAAATACTTGTACCATAGTTAAATATATAGTTTTGAATAATTTATTATTCATGCTTGAAAATATTTATGTTTTTCAGTGGCAGGGAATTATTGCATATCTAGATGTACTCATCAAATCAGGCCTTCTTCCCAAGACAAAGGACTTCCAAAGTGCCGGCCTCTAAACATGATAATTATTACTTATGTGCATAGAATTGTATATATTCTCGTGTCTAATCAGACCATATTTAAGAATCATTTGTATCACATTACATCCTTGTAATACTATGAAAAATATTCTTCTATTTTGAACATTTAATTGATGCTAAAATATTTTGTTCTCAATTACATGAAGTTGTTGTGTAAACCTTTTTATATACAAGTATATGTAAATTATCATCAATTATTAAAAAAAAAATTGTAAATATTCCCAAATATAAAATTTTGCGATGACAACTAATATGAAAAAAAAAAACGTCAGTAAATGCCTTTTTACTGACAAATTGTTATTTTGTCATCAATTAATTTTTTTAATGACAACATAATAATGTATACAATCGTCAGTAAATGTAATTTTATTGACGCATTTCATTTTTCGTCACCAATTAAATTTATTCATGACAAGTATAATTGTATGGAAAACGTCAGTAAAGACACATTTGCTGACGAAATATTTTACTTCGTCACAAACTATTACCGACGTTTTGTTAATATTTCATTTCAAAAAGTATGTATTCCATGACATTATCAAGACCATGCAAAAACGTCAGTAATAGTAATATTTTGTGACGAAAAATTAACTTCGTCAGTAATACCTTTCCATACGCCGCTAACCCGACGGTCCGGATGACGTTTTTATTTCGTCAGTAAAGACATTTGGCGACGCATTTTTATTTTTACCGACGTTTAAAAAACATCGCTAAATACTAATATTCTTGTAGTGATTATTATTATTATTTGATAACAAAGACTTAATGCATTAAATCACGAGAAAGAAAGTTTACAAGGAAAGCTGGTGGGATATCAAACCATTCCCCGTGATCTGACTCAGAAAATGCCGCCATAGCAACAGTGTAAGCAGCACAATTCACAGATCGTCTAACAAAACGGAATTGGACATCATCAACCATGGATGCCAATTCTTTTACATCATGAACTAAAAGACCGAAAGTTGAAATAAAAGAGGAAGCTGAAAGAGAATAAAAAATAGTTTTGGAGTCCATTTCCACATCAACATTGCCCAGACCTGTATCCTTAAGCCAGCTCAGAGCCTCCCTCACACTTATAGCCTCGGCTTCATTAACGGTATAGGTCCCGTCTAGCCTCACATTCTTTGCTGCCAAGAAAACTCCATCATGATCTCGCAGAACCCACCCTAACCCCATCCTGTTATTTGATAAATCCAATGACGCATCTGTGTTGAGCTTTATCCTCCCATAATCCGGACGGGTCCAATGTTGAACTTCAGTGAGCGAGTCACCTGCATTGTCCTTAGTATTAGCATGAACATAATTTTGCCAGTAGGTGATTGCTCTGTGCAACATAACATGCATTTCGAAAACAACCCCCTGCCAAACATATTCATTTATACTACACCAAATTCCCCAACATGCCATAACAAACTTTGGAAGCTTTTCACCACTTAAAAGTTTTACTACACCAAAGAACCATTCAACAGTGTTACCATTAGCAACTCTCGACACAGGTATGCCGAGTAAGTTCCAAACTCGCACCGCTTCCGAGCATTGGGCAAAGATATGATAGGCACTCTCAGGATCCCTCCTGCACATATGACAAGATAAAGCACAATGAATATTCTTTGTTTGTAGGGCATCCCTGGTCGGTAAGTAGGAAGAAGCCAACTGCCAGCAAAATTGCTTGACCTTAGGCGGTACAAATAAATTCCAAACACGAGACCAGGGTCTTTCATCATACACCATACCACATAACTACTTATAGCACGATTTAACTGTGCACTCACCTTTTTTATCATAATACCAGTACCACGAGTCTCGTGGTTTACGCAAGGAGATGGGAATATTTAAAATCAGATTAGCATCACGGGCTTCAAAAGTATTCATAATTCTACCCACATTACATCCCGTACCTTGAGTATTAAAAAGACTTACTACCGGGGCTTCATAATCCTCGGCACTTAAATGAGTTTGGATGTACGGGTCCGTCTTCTACCGGTAGCCATGCATGCCCCCCAACCGTTGTGCCAGTGTCGTCCCCAATGCTACGTCTACACCCATCACACATAACACTTTGGACCTCAAGGAGACTTCTCCAGATGAAAGACGGGTTACTACCTGGTGAAGCATAAAAAAATGAGCAGTTTGCAAAATAACGGGCTTTGTACACTTTTGCTACCAAGGAGTCTGGCTTACTGATTAATCTCCATGCTTGCTTACCAAGTAATGCCACGTTCATCTCACGCAACTTGCGGAAACCCATTCCTCCCGCAGATTTCGGAGCAGCTAGACCATCCCAGGATCTCCACTTCACACCCCTGCCAGAGCCAACTGATCCCTACCACCAATACCCATTCATGAGAACCTCAATCTCCTTGCATATACCCACAGGCAGCAGAAACACCATCATTGCATAACTAGGCATAGCTTGGATAACGTTTTTAAGTAGTACCTCTCGCCCAGCTCGTGACAGAAACTTTGCATTCCAACTGCGAATCTTGGTCAGTATTCGGTCGTTTAAGAAGCCCAAAATATGCTTCTTTCTCCTCCCAACAAGAGATGGCAGCCCTAAGTATTTCCCAGTAGTGTCACCCTCTGACCTCTGTTACGCCAAGGATCTGGTTTACCGCATGTCGGGCAGGCTGCCTTACATTCGTACTATAGCATACCATAGATTTATCGTAATTGATCTTCTGACCGGATGCTCTTGAATATATATCCAAAACTCGCCTCATGCATTCACCTTCCTGGACACTAGCATGAAGAAACAAGAAGCAATCATCCGCAAAGAGTAAGTGTGATATTTGCGGTGCTCCCCGTGCAACACGCGAACCCCATGCAGTTCACGCATTTGCACACGCCTCTCAATGAGGGCACTAAGCCCTTCTGCTATCAAAAGGAAAAGGTATGGAGACATTGGATCTCCTTGGCGCAAGCCTATACCCGGTACTATGGGTCCCAACTGCTGCTGCTCGTGTAGTATTTTATATTGGACCGATCGCACCGTTTCCATTAGTATGTTTATCCACCGCCTTGCAAAACCCAATTTCTCTATCATAGCTTCAAGAAAATTCCACTCAACTCGATCGTAGGCCTTACTCATGTCTACTTTAAGGGCAGCCACTCCGTCCCTTCCTTGTGTTTTCCTGTGTAAGTAGTTGATGTATGGGAAAGAGATGGTGAGTAACGGGTGTAAATTTGTCGTTCCGCAAGGGATTGGGACTATGGCACGTACTTGAGTGACAACTAAAATTCTAGGCACCAAAGTATTGGAACCCACAAGAATCCAAGCAAATTCAAATTCATGGTTGGGTAATGTCAACAATTAAAGGCTAAAAATCTAGTTGAGACAAAGTAATTTAAACACAAGTAAACACAATGATTAAAGATGGGCTCAAATTAGGGGATGTTGCCTTCTAGATGCTTTAACAACTTAGGGATTAGGGGAGAACATCAACCAAGGGAACATAAGGGCAAAGCACATAAAAATCCTAGCTTAAAGCCATTTTCATAAGCTAATAAACAAGGATTAGAGCAAGGATTGCCCCACTTTCATGGTGTATCAAATCCTAGCTCTCAAAGCACATAAGCATTTAGGCCCCCAATTCTTCCCTATTTTCATAGAAAGAAAATGGGTTTAGAGAAAGGAGAGGCTTAAATTCTTCCCCCAACTTTCATTGTAGAGAAAAACTATCCAAAAGCAAGTTAATAAGAGTTACGTACCAAATATTAACAAGATTCAACATAAATCCTTCACAAACAAATGAACCCTAGGTTAGATATCTTCCCCCTTATGCAATAATCACCTATTTAGCATCTAGGTTGGCAACATCACCCTAATCCAAGCCCAAAAACGAACTACTCACACTTCATAAACATAAATAAAAACAAAGCACAAGAAAGTATCATAAACATTGCACAAAAGCTTAAAAAGAAGAGTAAGAAACTTCTCTATTGAAGATGAAGATTTTGTGGTTGAATCCTACTCCAATCCGTGATTACAAGCTTGGAAGATGAGTTTGAGATGTAATACTAGACTAATCTAAGCTAAGGAAATGAAATGAAGTGAAATGGAATGAGTTTTTGCTCTCTAGGGTTCTAACTTCTCTAAAAAAAAACAGAACAAAAGGTATTAAAAAGCTGTCAAATTTCCGCGCAGCGACATGGCCAGGCACACGGCCGTGTCCCCGGCCGTGTCCAATTTTCAGCCAAAATCTGAGGCATTCTGCCTCAGATTGGCACGGCCGTGCCAAATTTCTTCAGACATGGCCATGTGCTGACACGGCCATGTCAGTTGTCCTGAATCCATTTTTTAAATGTTGCTCCAATTCTCCATTCTTTCTTGCACTGCTTCCTTGACTCCAAAATAGACTTGAAATGCTCCAAAGTGCTCCATTCTTTACTCATTGTGAATAATTGTACCTAAGAAAATAAATCACACAAATGAGTCTCAATTAACACTTAGTTAAGGGCACTTTATGTACAAAATGGACTTAAAACATGGGGTTAAAAGAAGTCAAGAATGAGTGTTATCAACTCCCCCACACTAGAATTTTTGCTTGTCCTCAAGCAAAGACAAATCACCATCCAAGCAATGAAATTGATCACACTCCCAACTTGCACAACTTATCAATCCACAAACCTACTTGCTACAACACAACTTGTTTCAAGAATCATTTTAGCATCCCACACAAGTTCCATTCTCAAGCCAATAACCAAGCACCAAAATTATTTAAGTGTGAGAAGATCAAGTGTGCACTATACTAAGTTAAGATTATGCAAAACTTGGCTTTGAATGAGATTCCATAGGCTTGCCCTTCATACTCCCACTAGCTCAACTCTAAGGATGCATGCTAAGATCAAATAGGTCTTTTATTAGGCTTGTAATGGGGCTAAGGGTGCATGGCTAACAAAGAAGGGGTATAGGAATAAAACAAAGGAGAGAATTTCACATTTATTCACAATTGGAGCTAGAAGAGACATGACAACTAAGAACAAAGGAGCAATTTACAATTGATACAAAACAACATTCTAAAGAGGTGGGGTTGAGTACAACTTTCAACACAAAATAGAATCAAACTTTAAGCTTTTATTCTTCTTCCTTTTCTTTTCATTTTTTTTTTTCAACACTTTTTTTTTTGTTTTTTTTTTTTT